CTTTGGAGGCTGAGGCAAGAGAATCGCGTAAGCCCAAGAGTTTGAGGTTGCTGTGAGCTGTAATGCCATCACACTCTACCAAGGGCTACACAGTGAAACTCTGTCTCAAAAAAAAAAAAAAAAAAAAGAAAAGAAAAGAAAGGCCTATACAGGGCTGTGTCTTCAGTCTTAAAAGTTTGGGATCCTTCCTTAAGAGTTGAGTGCGAGTGAATCCAGATTACCCAAAGGAGTAAATGGTGTCAGGACATGGGAGGAGCTGGTGGTGGGGGTTGGGGTTTGCTCCTCATTGGGCCTCTCCACCTCCCAGCTGAAGCCAATTCTGGCTGACATCGAGTACCTGCAGGACCAGCACCTTCTGCTCACAGTCAAGTCCATGGACGGCTATGAATCCTATGGTGAGGGGTATTGAGGGATTCAAGAAGCCAGGTGGGGTCCTAGAATGGCATGGTAATTTGTTGATCTGTCTCATCTGCCCCTCAGGGGAATGTGTGGTTGCACTTAAGTCCATGATTGGCAGCACAGCCCAGCAGTTCCTGACCTTCCTGTCCCACCGAGGCGAGGAGACAGGCAACATCCGTGGCTCCATGAAGGTGCGGGTGCCCACAGAACGCCTGGGCACCCGTGAGAGGCTCTACGGTGGGAGCTTTGTTAGGAGAAGGGTAGGGCATGAGATGGGGTGGTATGGGCAGGTCTAGCAGGGGAGGACCCAGGGCAGGGCCATGTTGGAATCCCTGGGATACTTTGAGGTTCTGCAGCTACATTTAGGGGGTGGGCCTGCCAAGAGGAGTAGCTGAAAAGGGGCTGGGAGGCCCAGTGAGTATCTGTGGGATCCAGGAGCTTGGGTCCCCTCTGAGTCTCCCTTTCTCATCTCTCCCCCTCAGAGTGGATCAGCATTGATAAGGATGAGGCAGGAGCAAAGAGCAAAGCCCCATCTGTGTCCCGAGGCAGCCAGGAGCCCAGGTGAGCTGGGCCTGTGTTGAATGTCATGTGAAGGGGTACCTGGGGGCTTTTGGTCGGCCCTATTTTATTCTTCATCTGCCCTCTCCTGTGCATCCTTGGCAGGTCAGGGAGCCGCAAGCCAGCCTCCACAGAGGCCTCCTGCCCACTGTCTAAGTTATTTGAAGAACCAGAGAAGCCACCACCAACTGGGAGGCCCCCAGCCCCACCTAGAGCAGCTCCCCGGGAGGAGCCCTTAACCTCCAGGTGAGAAGCAGCTCTACTCCCACCCCACATACACACTAGCCACCACCATGCTCAGCTTTCAGGGCCAGCCTGAGGAGCATCTGCTATTTGGGTGCTCTGCCACCCATGGACAGAGGTGTCATGGCCCCACGCCTGTGGCCACTTTAGCCAGTCAGGCCTCCATTAGGTGTGGCTCTCTAGTCAAAGGCAGCATAGTCAGCCTTTCCTCTCAGTTCTGCCTTTAAAAGTGGAATTAGAAATTGTTTTTGAAACAGTTCCTCTGTGTAAACAGACCTAGCTTGAGCCTTCTGTTTGGAGAAGGCATATGGCTCAGCACAGGCTTTCCCAGCATGCGTTCTGTGGAACTCTGTACTACAAGAGGCTCTGGTAGAAATGGGTTTATGATCAAATGAGTTTGGGAAATGCTTCTTGCTAGATTCTTTTCTTAGATAGTCCTAGGTGCCCAAAGCTCAGCAGTTAGGGTGCTGAGCCACATGCACTGAGGCAGGTGGGTTTGAACTCAGCCCAGGCCAGCTAAACAACGACAACTGCAACAAAAAAATAGCCTGGCATTGTGGTGGGTGCCTGAAGTCCCAGCTACTTGGGAGGCTGAGGCAAGAGAATCACTTAAGCCCACAAGTTTGAGGTTGCTGTGAGCTGTGATGCTACTGCACTCTACCTAGGGTGACATAGTGAGATTCTGTCTAAAAAAAAAAAAGAAAAGATATTCTCAGTGCACATTAGTATTAGCAAAAGCTCTGAGCATGTGGATAGGAAGGAAACCTCTTTTCAACTCTATTTAATATAGTTTCCCAAACTTAATGGGCTAGGAAACTTTTTTCCTCATAGTATCTATTAATGTACTGGGGAACTAATGTTCTGTGTGTCACACTTTGGGAAAGTGAGGCTTGCATTCTATTTATATTCAATTGCCACTTGAACTCAAAATTCTGAGGTACAGTTTAGTGCTTCTTCCCTCATTGTCAGCTATTTTCAGCTATTTGGGTTTTATCCCCAGGCTTGAGTAAAATCAACCTGAGTCTCTGAGTTAGATTCCTCAGTAAATCAACTTTGGATGCTATCAGAGACTAGGCTTTCCAAATCTGCCTGTCACTTTCTTAAGAGGTCTTACTTGCCCAGCTGTCTGGCAGCTCTGTTCTTACCCATTCAAGCTCAGGTTTCACAGTTACAAAGTCATAAATGATCTGTGAATCTTAGCAATGGGAAGAGAGTTTGGGGTTATTCATTTAAAGTATCCCTTTCCCTGACTTTAGAGATCAGGAAACCAAGGGTGGGAGACGGTGAGTGATGTGATTGAGGTCATGTGAAAAGTCTAGGGGCCCCTGTCTTCTGAGTCCTGTCCAGTTTTCTCTCCACTGTACCCATTGCCTTCATTTTGGGTTGGTGGGTCTTGACTTAGTTCTCCTGCTCCCAAACCCAGGTTGAAGCCAGAGGGGACTCCTGAACCAGAAGCGGTGGTACCCCCCCCACCCAAGAATAGCTTCAATAATCCTGCCTACTACGTCCTTGAAGGGGTCCCACACCAGCTGCTGCCTCCAGAGCCACCCTCACCTGCCAGGACCCCTATCCCACCTGCCACCAAGAACAAAGTGGCCATCACAGTGCCTGCTCCACAGCTTGGGCGCCATCAGCCCCCTCGTCTGGGAGAGGGGAGTTCATCAGATGAAGAATCTGGGGGCACACTGCCCCCTCCAGACTTTCCACCCCCACCACTGCCAGATTCAGCTATCTTCCTACCCCCTAGCTTGGATCCTTTGCCAGGCTCAATGGTCCGGGCCCGCACTGGGGGCGAGGGTCGAGGCCCACCACCTCCCAAGGCCCATCCGAGGCCCCCACTGCCCCCCAGCTCTTCACCCACCAGCACCTTCCTGGGAGAAGTAGCCAGTGGGGATGACCGGTCCTGCTCAGTGCTTCAGATGGCCAAGACACTGAGTGAGGTGGATTATGCTCCTGCTGGGCCTGGACGCTCAGCACTCCTCCCCAGCCCCCTGGAGCTGCAGCCACCACCCAGGGGACTGCCCTCAGACTATGGCCGGCCTCTCAGCTTCCCTCCACCACGCATCCGAGAGAGCATTCAGGAGGACCTGGCAGAGGAGGTGTGTGGACTACTAGCTGTGGCTGGTTGGCTGGCTGCGTGTGCCTGAGGAGTGTGCTTGTTCATGGACTATGGTATCTTTTCACTCTAACATTCATCATTCACTGGTGACCCCTCTGCCCTGAGATGGACACTGGGGAGTTGGGGGACACATGAATCAGCCCCAGTCCTTGCCTCCCTTTCCCATAGAGCATGCAGTAGAATGTGGTTGTCAGCAGGTGTTTGGGGGGACACCCTCCGTGCTCCCTCTGACATGCCCTGTTTCCTCAGGCTCCATGCCCGCAGGGCGGGCGGGCCAGCAGGCTAGGCGAGGCAGGCATGGGTGCCTGGCTGCGGGCCATTGGCTTGGAGCGCTATGAAGAGGGCCTGGTGCACAATGGCTGGGATGACCTGGAGTTTCTCAGGTGGGGCTGGCCTGGAGGTGGGTGAGGTGGGTCAGGCTGCAGAGGCAGAGCTAGGAGCCCTCAGGAACCTCCCAGCTCATCTTTTAGCCTCTCTTATTCTCACAGTGACATTACAGAGGAGGACCTGGAGGAAGCTGGGGTGCAAGATCCAGCTCACAAGCGCCTCCTTCTGGACACCCTGCAACTTAGCAAGTGACCTTGAGGCACCTTCAAGCTGGGAACTCGGCTCCTCTTCCCCAGCCTGGGAAGGCCAAGCTATAGCCCTCGCTGCCTATTTATTGGGGATCTGCATTCCCTACTGCCCAATTACTTGGAATGCCCTTATTGGGGTATCCTGCCCCATCCCCTTTTGGGCCAGGGCTACAGAGGCCATTTGCCATAGTTACTAGGGACTTGGTTACTCTGATGCTGTCTTCTTTTCCTGGACCCCCCCCCCCAGCCCCACGGTGCCTATGGGGGTCCAGTTGGGTACGTCTGGGCTCTCACTTTCACTGCTGTTTTTGCTGCCCTCCACTGGCCTGAACTACAGGGGAAGAGGAGTTCTGCTAGATAGGACCTCCCAAAACCCTTACTCCAAGGGGTGTCCGTCCATCCGGAAATGAAGGAATAGCCCAAGGACTGGGCTTGTGTTTATTTAAGCTTTTCTGTATGGGTTTGGGGAGGGAGGGCACTTAATATTATTGGGGTTGTGGGGGGCAGGATATTGGCTATAAAGTGCCAGTTTGCTTAGTTTTTACAGTCTCCTGGTCTATACTGCCTTGTGCTGGGATGGCATGGGGGATGGTTCCCTTGTTAGTAGTAACCCGGGGCAGGGTTCTTTTACAGGCAGCCTATCCTTACCCTGGTCACTCAGAAGGGTTGCTGGAGTAATGTCCTCAATAAATTAAGTTTTATTTGGATTGAGCAAAACTCACCTCAATAAATTACAAGTTTTTCAAAGAAAAGGAACCAAAAGGAAAAAGGCAACTCCTCAATCTCGTTCCCAGAGCCGCCCCACCACTCCCCTAACAGGTTCACTCTCTGTGCCAGACTGGCTAGGGATGGGAGGGGACGAGTGAGGGATGAATTGATGATAGCAACCTTTAGGCTGCTGACAATCCCAGCTATGACCAGAATGCACGAGTGAGGACAGTGTGGGTGGGGCTTGAGGGGCGGGGCAGTGGTGGGCACTCATGGTCACCAAGGTAGGGAGTGACCCAGCCAGCTGCAAAGCCAGGGAAACAGGTGCACCATTCCTCCTTGGGGACACTTACGTTTGGGCACTGTTAGAGGAAGGCAATATTTGATCCCTGATCCAAAGAAAGCCAGGCTAGGAAAGCCTGGGCTTTCCTGGACGGGGTTTAGTGAAGAGTATCCACTCTGCTGGGTGGGAGTGGGTAAGGATGAGAGTAGCCCTGACTTGGTCTTCAAAGCTGGGGAGGACACACCTAGGGGTCACGGTGGGAACGGACGGGACTTCCAGGCCGGTAGCCGGGATGGGGAGGGACTCCTTCAGGTCCTGGTGGGGCAGGGACATCTCTGGGGCCTGGCTTTGAAGCCTCCAGAGGCCGGCGGCTAGAAGAGATTGGTTTTCAGGGCGGGGCCAGGCTTCCGGTGAAAGGACGACAGAACCCCAGAGAAGGGTCCAGGCCCCGGCTCCGCCGGCTGCCAGGCCTTAAGTAGTTCCGCTGCGCCCGCGCCGGGCCCGCCGCCCCCGCCCCCCGCCACGCCAGCCCACAGCGCGCCCTTGAGTGGTTGGGGGCCGGGGCCGGGGCCAGGGCCGGAACCCAGAGCTGCGGGAAGCGGGCTAGGGCTCAGGCGCGGGCTGGCCAGGCCCGGCGCTGGTGGCGGCGGCAGCGACGCGGTGCTGTCAGGCGTGGGGCTGCACGTGGACTCCTTGGAGTCGTCGTCCTCTGATGAGCAGCGCGCCTCGCCCTTTTTGGCGCCCACTGCCCCCGCCGCGCCCTTGGCACTGGCCGCTCGCTCCTGTTTGCGGAACTTGGCCCGGCGGTTCTGGAACCAGACCTGCGGGCACAGGGGCCAGTCAGTCTGGACCAGCGTCAGAGAACGCACAGGGTCAGTCCGGGGCCGCTGGGCGTGGATAGACCTCCGTCTGGAAAGGACTGACCCGGATTATAACTGGTCCGAGTGGCCCTCAGCCTTCCCGGCATCGGCCCCTCATCCACAACGTTCCCCTCCCCCCATCCCCGCCCCTGACCCTCCGCCCACATCCCCAACGCCGGTTACCTTCTGCACTCTTCTCCACCAGTCCCTTTCTCCAGATCCTTAGGTTCTTGCCCATGGGATGCATTCGTCCCCGATCCCGCTGCCTCCCCGTAGTCTTTTTTTTTTGAGACAAGAGTCTCACTTTCGCCCTCCGTAGGCTGCTGTGGCGTCATAGCTGACAGCAACCTCAAACTCCCGGGCTAAAGTGATCCTCTTGCTTCAACCTCCCCAGCAGCTGTGACTACAGACACCTGCCACAACGCCTGTATAGTTTTTTCTATTTTTAGTAGAGATGGGGTCTTGCTCTTTTTTTTTTTTTTTTTTTTTTTTGGCCGGGGACAGGTTTGAACCCTCCACCTCCAGTATATGGGGCCGGCGCTCTACTCCCTGAGCCATAGGCGCCGCCCAGGGGGTCTTGCTCAGGCTGATCTCCAACTCCAGAGCTCAAGCAATCCACCTGGCTCGGCCTCCTGGAGTGCTGGGATTAAAGGCGTGAGCCACCGCGCCCAGCCCGCCCAGTACTCTTTCTTGGTCTCCGGAACTTTGCCTTCACTCTCCTCACCCTAAGCCCTGCCCCCCAATTTCCTCTTTTTGGAAGCTCGGGACTTCCCGCCTGGAGCGTCCCAGGAAGGTGGAGAGGGGGTTAGGGAGCCAAAGAAACCTTTGTCCAGAGCCTTCAGTTTTGGCGGCCGCTGAACATCTGTACATAAATTTGTACAGACAGACAACAGAGTCTGCCCTGGCCCTGTTCTCTTCGGCCCTCCACCTGACCCAAGCTCTGACTGTCCAGCCTCGGGGTTTTCACATCTGCAGCCTGCCCACTCCTTCACCCTTGGCCCTGCAGTTACCTGGGGCTTCCACTTTACCCCATCCTCCCTCCGTCCAGGCTTCTCAAGCATCACTTTGAACGTCCTCCTGGACGGAGGGAGACTTAAATTCTTAAATAGAGAAACGGAAGAGGAGGTAGCATGAAGCTAAACAGATCACTCTCCCGGGGGCCTCCCAACTCCTGACTCTGCTGCCACCTCTGGCTTCCCAGCCGCTCCCCACCCCCACACCCAGGAAAATGCCCTGGTCCCTGGCCCTACATCCCCACCTCCAGGTTGCTGTTGATTGTGTCCCCAAATGTCAAGCACTCACCTCTCACATCACCTTTCATGCCCACACACTCCCTTACACACGCGCATACACTCACCTGGACACGAGCCTCAGTGAGGTCGATCTTGAGCGCCAGCTCCTCCCGCGTGTAAATATCGGGGTAGTGAGTCTCCGCAAAGACCCGCTCCAGCTCCTTGAGCTGAGCACTCGTGAAGGTGGTGCGGATGCGCCGCTGCTTGCGCTTCTCGTGCAGGCCAGATGGCTCCGGGAAGAACTTGTAGGGCACTAGGATGTGTGCAGGAGGATAGGGGCAATGAGGGTGGGGAGAGTGAAAGGCCAAGCTCAGCCCACTATATCCTGTTCCAAGGAAATCGCACACCACCCATGTCCCTAGCCTGGTGCCTCGGCTTGGTTCTGGCAGCCTACAGCTGAGCCTTCTGGTATTGCTCAAAGAAGCTGACCGGGACAAAGGCAGACCAGGATTTGGGAGACCTGGGGCCCAAAAACCACTTCAAGGAAACCACAATCTGATCCTCCAGCCAAGTTCCCCCTACCCTGACCGTGTTACCTCCACCTCCCTCCATTCCACCCTTCCTTCCAAGTCTCCACTTGGTGTGTATATCTCAACCTGACTTCAGGTCCTGCTCTGTGCACCCCAGCCGGGGATGTCTGTCAGGTTTCATCAGCATTGTCAGTCTCCCCACTAGCTATCTTAGTCCTCCCTCTGCCACTGACACTCTCCTGCTGACTCTATTTTCAGCCCTGCAATGGGTTCTCTGCTTTGTACAGATTTGGCTCCCTCTGCCCACCCATCTCTCTCCTTCCCAGGCCTCATTTCCTCTGCCCTTCCTCACATCCCTGGTTCCCATTTTCCTCCGTCCAAATATCTTTTTTCTTTCAACTTTGTCCTTTTGGGCCATTCCTCTTTATGCCCACTGAGAAGGGCTCATTTTCTCTCCACCCAAGTTCCTCCATCTTCTCTTTGCCCTTCTTCTCCCAGGCATGTTCTCTGTGTCCTATCTACTCCAAAGCCGGTCCCCCACCCCTACTCTCTTCCTATACCCGGTCCCAGTCTCCACTGCCTCAGAGACATTGTTTCTAACTATCTCTCCATCCCTGTCTTTAACTCCAGTTAGGTCTCCATATTCTCCAGAGGACCCCAACTTCCATCTTTGTCCCCTCTCTTGATGTTCCCCCATCCCTTAATCCTTGTCTCCCATACCACACTCCTGTCCCCATTTCCCTCATTTCTATTTCAATCTTCCTTGGTCCCCACCACCTGATTCTTATCTCTATCTCCCCAACTTAGGGCACCTATTTCTCCTAGGGTCTCCAGTCTTCTCATCTTTACTTCCATCTCTCTATACCTTATCCCCATTTCCCTGGTCTTGGACCCATGTATCTCTGGAGCCCATCTCCCCAATCCCTATCTTCATCTCTGGGTGCATTTCCATGGTTCTCATTTCTCCAAATCCAGGGACCTATCCCCCCACCTCTACCCCAGGCCCCAGTCCTCTATTTAGGTCCCCCAAAGGGAAGGCAATAAGGAGTTGGGTGGGGCAGGCTGGGACTCTAATCTGAAGGATGGGGATGACTGAAGAGGCTCAGTGAGGTTGAGGGTTTGGACAGGGACTTGAATCAAAGAGCTCCAGGGACAGGACTGCAGTACGAAAGCTGGGAGACACTACAGGGGAACTGGGAAATGCAGGTGGTTTAACGATCCCTGGCCCCTTTTGAGCTATGGTAACCGGTCTGGGCCCAAGCGGGATGGTCCAAGAGAGGGAGGGAGGGGCCTAATGGCGCCAGGGCTCTAGGAAGATTCTCATTTGGGGCAGCTCAGCTGCCTGCAGGGATCCTTGCTAGGAGTCAGGAATCACAGGGGCAGGGGTGTTAAGGGTGAGAATCTGACTGGACTAAGCTGGGAGTCTCATTCAAGAACACAGGATTTGGAGAGATTTGGTGATCAGTCTTTGCAGGTGGTGCGGGAAGAGCCCATTGAGGGGCCCGGTGCTGGACCCGGTGATCTAGTTCCTTGACCCGAAGGGCACAGGATAGAAATTTGGCGGAGAAAAGAATGTGAGGGCTGAGCGGATAGAGTTCATTCCTGCTGAGGGGAACCTCTCATTACTGGGGATCTCGGGTGTTGGAGGGTTTGGCCAGGGCAAGGACCGGGAAGTCTGTAGCGGACAGTCGCATTTACTTGCCGAGTGGGGTGGGGGTTCCGCAGGATTTGGAGGGAGGATTGGGACGGGGCTGCGCTCACCTGCCGAGTAGGGCGCGGGCTGGTGGTCGCGTAGGGCGCCAAGCGCGCAGTTGGAGGAGCCGAGCGCGGGGCAGGGCGGCCCTGCCGCGGGGAAGGCGGGCCGCAGGGGGCTGTATTGGAAGCCGCCAGGCTGGCTGCAGGCGCCGAAGTCGCCGTAGGCGGACGCTTCCATGGCCGCCACGCACGAGTCGTACGAATTGAGGTAGGAGTAGTCCATCGGCCCGGGGGGCGGGGGCGGGGGCCGGGCCAGGCCGGGTCGGGGTAGGGGGCCGGGTCGGGGTGGAAGTAGGGATGGAGGTGCTAGCGCCAGGCGCCGAGGACCTGAGGCCGGCTCTAAGCGCCCGAGAGTTCGCCCGCCCCGTCGCGGCTGCACTCCACCCGTGTGCAAAGCAAGTGCAGCCCGGCTGGCCCCGCGCGCCTTTTAACGCGCAAGACCCCGTGGAGGGGGCGGGGCGGGGCAAATCCTAGGGGGCGTGGTCTGGACTGCCCAGACCCCGCCCCCAGCCACCCCGACCCCCACCCTAAAGGGTCCCAGCCGACCACTTCGGGCTCTCGAGGGGTGGGGCAAAGATGCGCAGGACCCCATCCCCAGAGTCCCCATTCTGCCCCAATCCTGACCAGACCTTCCGTCCCAGCACATGGTGCGAGGCAGAAGGGTCCCAGCCGCTGGTCCGGGCCTCCCCACCTGCGGCCCCGCAGAAGGGAGGGAAGGCAGGCTCCGCGGCGCTCGTGTGAAGAAGTTAATTCAATTTGCCCTGATAACCGAATTATTCCGATCGGCCCCTCAGCCCCGCCCCCAGCGGGGTCCCATCCAGGCGGAGACTGCGGAGGCGGCCCAGGAAAGGGGATGGAGACAAGGACTGGGAAGAGATAGAGCTCAAGACCGGGCAGGAAAGGGATGTGGAACCAGAGAGGAGGCAGAGACAGGGAGAGAAGGAGACAGAAACAGCGATGGAGGCAGTGACAAGAGAGACACAGCTACAGAGATGGAGACAACGATGAAACATGTACAAGAGAAGAGGTGGAGATGAGGACAAGGCAGAGACGGAGAAGGAGACAAGGAGAAGAGAGAGACAGAAAAGACAGAACGGGGGGAGGTAGAGGAAAAGAGAGACGGGCTCGGAGACAGAGAAGGGGTCGAGACAAGACAGAGACTGCAACAGGGATTGCGACGGAGACCGCGACAGGGATGAGACAGACACGTACAGAGGCACAGTCTCAGAGAGACAGGGCCAGGGACAGTCACAATGGAGGGGCAGAGAGAAAGAAGCTTTGGAGAGCTGAGGCCCGGGAGCCGGAGAACACTGGCTGCCGAGGGATTGTGAAGGAGGCGCTGGGGGCGGCCGCGCATCGGGCTGCTTAGCTGCTGAGGGTGAAGGCGGCCAAGCCGAGGTCCGGCTATCCCGACTTATCTAGAAGGACACACGACCATGCGCTTCAGGGCCTGGCCTGCCTCTTCCCTTCCCCAATTCCTTCAGCTCAGTTCTCCTCCTCCCTGCCGCACAGGGCGTGACCCTGTGGTGTGACCCTGGACACAGTGTGCGTGTGATGGATGTCAGGAAGGGGGAGCAGCCCAGTGATCCCTTTACCCTTCTTCTGTTTCTCACCCCTTTTCTCCAGAATCTCCTTTCTTCTCCAGGAAAACCACCTAGATTCAGTCTCCACCGGGCAAGATAAGTCCCTGCAGGATAAGCCACTGGCTCTCCTTCTGTGGGACGGCTGGGACTCTTACCGGGTGAAGGGAACAGAGAACTCTTCGGTTACTGCCGCCCACCCCAAATGGATTGGGCAGCTTCTCCGTCCAGTCGCAGCCTTCCCCATCCGTATATTGGCAGGTCCTGAAGGACTCTTGGAATTCCTTTCCCCAAAGTGTGTCAGTACAGGCGAGGCACATCCCTCCTCTGGTAATTTCCTGGCCGTTCATTGTGCGTTTCACGCAGGGACCACCCATCCAATTTCTGCAACTACTCCCTGCCAGAGGGTTTCTCTGAGGCGTTTTCTAAGATTACCTTCCTCCCAAGGGAAAAAAATTTTTTTTAATATGGTGAAAGTATGTTTAGTTTTTTTGTTTTGTTTTTGTTTTTTTAATTTATTGTTGGGGATTCATTGAAGGTACAAGAAACCAGGTTTCACTGATTGCATTTGTTAGGTAAAGTCTCTCTTACAATTGCATAGAAAATTTTTATTGTAGCAAAATACGCATAAGGTAAAATGCACCACCTTAACCATTTTAAGTGTGCAGTTCATTAGGTTAAATACACTTACAATGTTGTGTAACCATCACCACTATCCATCTCTAAAGGCTTTTCCTGTTGTAAAATCAAAACTCTGTACCCATTAAACGATAACTCCCCATTCCCTCTGTTCCCAGCCTTTGGCCACCATTATTACACTTTCTTAACAGTTCTAAGTACCTAAGTGGAATCATGCAGTACTGGTCTTTTTGTGAGGGGCTTCTTTCACTTAGCATAATGTCCCCAAAGTTCATCCATCTTGTAAGTGTCAGAATCTCCTTCCTTTTCAAGACTGAATAATATCCCATTGTATGGATATGCCTCTGTGTTGCTTTCACACTCTGAGCTGTTGTGAATAGCACTGTTATGACAAATAACCCTTGAAGACTCTGATTTCAATTCTTTTGGGCATATACCCTGAAATGGAATTGCTCAATCATATAGTAGTTCTATTTTTATTTATTTATTTATTTATTTGAGCCAGAGTCTCAAGCTGTCACCCTGGGTAGAATGCCATGGTGTTATAGCTTACAGCAACCTCCAACTCTTGGGCTCAAGTGATCCTCTTGCCTCAGTTTTTTCTATTTTTAGTAGAGACAGCCTCTCGCTTTTTGCTCAGACTGGTCTTGAATTCATGAGCTCAAGCTATCCACCCGCCTTGGGCTCCCAGAGTGCTAGGATTACAGGCATTAGCCACCATGCCCGGCCTCTATTTTTATTTTTTGAGGAACTGTTTTCCACAGAGGCTGTGCCATTTCACATTTCCACAAACAGTGCACACATATTCCAACTTCTCCACGTCCTTGTCAACACTTGTTATTTTCTGTTTTTCTCAAATGCCCTCATAGGTCTAAACTTCTAGTGTGTAAGACCTGACAGCTCAACTACTTCAAAAAGTTATCCCACTGACATGTGAGATGCACCTCTCCCCCTCCACACATCCTACAGCCGTTCTCAACCTGTGGGGTCGAGACCCCTTTGTAACAATGAAACTACATCCTGCATATCAGATATTTATATTACAATTCATAACAGTAGTTATGAAGGAGCAACAAAAATAATTTTATGGTCGGGGGTCACCACAACATGAGGAACTGTATTAAAGGGTCGCGGCATTAGGAAGGTTGAGAACCACTGCGGAACCCAAGGGATCTCACAATAGGGAAATCAGATGGGACCTGTCACTCTCCTCTGACCCTGCCATGGCTCTCCATCGTCCTCGTGATCAAATCTATGCTTGGTGCCAGCATTTCAGCCTGCCTCCCCTCATCTTGATTTTCTTTAGAGCCTTCATTTACTTAGCTTTTGGTTCTGAGCTGTTCTTTCTGGCTAGAACACTCACTTTATTCACCATCCTCCCACCCCACCTCTACTTGTGCAAAACAAACCAATCCCCCCAAATAAACCAAAACAAAACATTAAAGGACCCCCCCACTCAAACTTGGTTGCCTCTATTTATCCATTGGATCTCAATTTGGACACTGCTTCCTGGAAACCTTACCTGATGCCCCTAGACTAGGCTGGATACCCCTGCTGTCCCATAGTATCTCCCTCTCTTTTGGTTACTTGAGTCATTCTGTAGAGGTGTTTGTAATAAAGTGCAAAGTCTTAGGGCAGAACTGTGTCTTCTCCCCAGTCCTACCATGGTACCTAGGTAGTTATTCACACATCGCAGGACCTCCTATATCTGTTTCTCAAATGAATGAATTAGGCTAACCTGAAATCTGCCCTTGCTTCCAGGGAAGGAGTCCTCCTGTCCTGACTCCCACTCTCCACTTTTTGAATATGGATCCTCTTCCTCCTTTTCATTTCCGTACTCCCAAGGGACAGAAAACTTCCTCCCTCATTAGTCAATTTCATGGAGCCAGGCACAGTGGCTCATGTCCTTCCTCATCTGAGGAATTTGTAGGTGGCCATATCCCTTCTACAGTGACAAAGCTGACTTGCAGTACAGGAAACTGAAGCTTGCATGCAGGGCCAAGCAGAGATACAAGGGGAAGCAAAGCGGTCCGCTGCTGCCTAAGGTCCTGGTTCTTGTTGTCTCCAAGACCATGGTCTACCTCTGTCATTTCTACAGTTTGGTCCTTCAGCCAGTATACTCCCTCTGGCTAAACTAGTTTTGGGACTAGGTGTGGTGGTTATCACCTATAATCCTAGCACTCTAGGAGGCCAAAGAGGGTGGATTGCTTGAGTTTAGGAGTTGAGACCAACCTGACCAATAGCAAGACCCCTATCTCTACTAAAAATAGAAAAAACTGAGGTGAAAGGATCATTTGAGACCAAGAACTTGAGGTTAGTGTGAGCTATAATGCCATACACTTTAGTCAGGGCGCCAGAGTGAGACTGTGTTTCAAAACTAACAAACAACTTTTGGTTTGGCTTCTGACACTGGTAACCAAGAGTTCTGATCCATACAATATCTTAAGGGTTGACAATTTTATAGGTAATCGATCAAATGGTAGTGGTGATTAGAAGTTTTACTATAAAGTGCATTTTACAGGGTTAGCTGGGCAGAAGCCAGCCTTCCTATGCCTCAGAGCTGTGCACTTGGGCTTTCTCTCTCTGCAGGCAGCCATTCGCACTTGCTGATTGGCAAAGGAGCTGAGAAGCATCCTGAGAGAGAAAATACTTTAAACCTTGTCCACTATTGGGTTCAGATAGGTCTTTTAATGATGGAGGCATGGAGACTTTGAAAGCCAAGCATCGTGTGTGTGTGTGTGTGTGTGTGTGTGTGTGTGTGTGTAGAGAGAGAGAGAGAGAAATGGGGAAATGGGGGTAGGGAAGGGAGCTTCCTTAGGATTCATCATGAAGGAAGAAGGGGACAGGCAGAGTGAGATGGACTCTGCAAGGATCTCATACCAGAGAGGATACTCTGGCTGAGACCTCTCACCTCCCACAAGTCTGTGTACTCCTGGGGAAATTAAAAATGGTCTGGCATGATTAGGACCAGGCACAGTGGCTTATGCCTGTAATCCTAGCACTCTGGGAGGCTGAGGCTGGAGGATCACTTGAGCTCTGAAGTTCAAGACCAGCCTGAGCAAGAGCAAGACCCAAACTCTACTAAAAATAGAAAAAAAAAATAACTGGGTGCTGTGATGGATGCCTAGAGTCCCAACTATTTGGGAGACTGAGGCAAGAGGATCACTTGAGTCCAA